GATATTCTCACGAAGGAGATCATTGGGCGTGGTACTAAGAGAGGGGGACTTTACTATATGGAAGATTTTAGTGTAGGCCGAGCGCATCACATGCATTATCCAAGAAACAACAAGATGGAGCAAGTCTTACTTTGGCATCGTCGATTAGGCCATCCTTCGTTTGGCTACTTGAAACATGTGTTCCCAAACTTATTTTCAGATAAATCTTTGTTGAACTTCAAATGTGAAGCTTGTATTTTAGCCAAGAGTCATCGAGTCACTTTTCCATCAAGTATGAATAAAAGTAATGTTCCTTTTGCTTTAATCCATTCTGATGTATGGGGTCCATCCCCAAAATCGTCTCTCTCTGGTTATCGGTGGTTTGTTATATTTGTTGATGATTGCACTCGAATGACTTGGATTTATTTGTTGAAACAAAAAAATGAAGTGGTACACATATTTCAACAATTTCATAAAATGATTCAGACTCAATATTCAACGAAGATTAGGATCCTTCGCTCTGATAATGGTGGGGAGTTTGTAAATCACCAATTCCATGAGTATTTAAAAAAACACGTACTTATTCACGAAACCACGTGTCCACAAACTCCACAACAAAATGGTATTGCAGAACGGAAAAATCGCCATATCCTTGAAACTGCTCGTGCTCTTTTACATGGAGCACATGTGCCTCACCACCATTGGACTGATGCTGTTACTACAACAGTGTATCTCATCAATCGAATGCCATCGAAGGTTCTTGAATTTAAAACTCCGCTGCAGACCTTGTCCACATTTGTACCGCTGCCTACAATACAAATGCTGCCACCTCGTGTCTTTGGGTGTGTTGTGTTTGTTCACCTACATAAAAACCAGCGTACAAAGCTTGATCCGTGTGCCATTCGCTGCCTGTTTTTGGGATATGGTGTACACCAGAAAGGGTATCGCTGCTATGACCCTACTACTCGACGCATTTATGTAACTATGGATGTTACATTCTTGGAATTTGACCATTTCTACTCCTCGGCAGCACCCAATTCTTCTCTTCAGGGGGAGACACCAGAAGAAGGGTCGAATTGGTCGACATTTGACTGGTTCAAAGATATTGATATACCATCAACTGAAGTGGCTGGTGATCCGTGTCAAACTCAAACAGACCATATGAGTCCTGAAGTTGAAGTATCAGAATCCCCCCCCCCTCTCCAGTACTCAACGATCCATCTCCTGAGAATATCATTGAGGTAAGCTCTCCTATATCTCTTGATAATAATAATAATAATAGTGATATCTCTGTTATCTATGAATTACCTCATAGGCATAATCGGGGAAAACCACCGAAGCGTTACTCTCCTGAAGAAGAGGATCATCGATCGAGGTATCCAATTGCTAATTATGTCTCTATGAAGGAATTATCTGAACCCCTTAAGAAATTTGCAAATGAACTATCTTCACACAGTGTACCTAGCAACGTTGAAGAGGCCATTGAAGACACTAGATGGGTTCAAGCTATGAATGAAGAAATGGAGGCATTAAACAAGAATGCGACATGGACCCTTGTCCCTTTACCAAAAGGAAAGAAACCAGTAGGGTGTAAGTGGGTTTTCTCTATCAAGTACAAAGCTGATGGGTCAATTGAAAGGTACAAAGCAAGACTAGTAGCTAAAGGCTTTACACAAACATATGGCGTAGACTATCAAGAAACCTTTTCTCCTGTTGCCAAGTTAAGCACTGTCAGAGTTCTTTTATCTCTTGCAGTAAATCTTGATTGGCCATTGCATCAGTTAGACGTGAAAAACGCCTTTCTCCATGGGCACTTGAAAGAAGAAATATATATGGATATCCCTCCGGGATACATGACAAACTATGAGACTAAAGTGGTGTGCAAATTGCAACGCAGTTTGTATGGCTTGAAGCAATCTCCTAGAGTGTGGTTTGGGAGATTGAACTTGGCAATGAAAAAATATGGCTTCCAACAAAGCAACGCAGATCATACGTTGTTTTTGAAACACCGTCAAGGTAAGGTCACAGCTTTGATTGTGTATGTAGATGACATGATTATTACAGGAGATGACTCTGAGGAAATAGCAAAACTTCAAAAACATCTGGCAACCGAATTTGAGATGAAAAATCTAGGTGGACTCAAATATTTTCTAGGTATTGAAGTTGCTAGGTCAAAGAAAGGCATCTTTTTATCTCAACGAAAATATATCTTAGATCTTTTATCAGAAGTTGGACAACTAGATTGTAAACCTGTAGATACTCCAATTGTCCAGAACCACCAACTTGGAGAATATCCAGACCAAGTGCCAACAAACAAAGGAAGGTACCAGAGATTGGTTGGCAAACTTATTTACTTATCTCATACACGACCTGATATAGCGTATGCGGTAAGTGTAGTAAGCCAATTTATGCACAACCCGAGTAAAGATCACATGGACGCGGTAATTCGAATCATGCGGTACTTGAAGTCCTCGCCTAGAAAAGGCTTGATGTTCACAAAGAATAATCATGTACAAGTTGAAGGTTATACAGACGCTGATTGGGCTGGAGATATCACCAACAGAAAATCCACCTCAGGCTATTTTACCTTTGTTGGAGGAAATTTGGTTACATGGAAAAGTAAGAAACAAAATGTTGTAGCATTATCAAGTGCTGAAGCAAAGTTTCGAGGGATGGCTAAAGGTCTTTGTGAGCTTCTCTGGCTTCGAAGACTGTTAATTGAAATTGGCTTTGCTCCGAATAGTGCGATGAATCTTTTTTGTGACAATAAGTCTGCAATTGAAATTGCTCATAATCCGGTTCAACATGATCGAACGAAGCACGTGGAAGTAGATCGACACTTTATTAAGCAAAATTTGGAGACCAAGATAATTCAATTTCTGTTTGTTAAATCTGAAGATCAATTAGCAGATATACTCACAAAAGCTGTATGTAGTAGAGACTTCTACAACGCACTTGACAAGTTGGGCATTTGAGATATCTATGCACCAACTTGAGGGGGAGTGTTGGCGTTAGCTGTCAACAAAATTGTAGGGACTATAATAGGAATATAGTTATTAATTGTTAATTTCTCTGATTTGGTTATAATTATTCTGATTTAGTTATAATTAGAAATAGAGTTTTCTGTGTATATAAATATAACCAATTCTCATCTGATGTATACGATTGAAATATATGAAAATATTATACCAATTTAACAACATCTATTGGATTTTCCCTCTGAAAATTCGATTCTATAGCCAATGATTATTAAAACATAAAGGTCTGAGTCCTCAATCTTCTAAATTGTAGCTATGAACCAATAGCCAATCTGAAATGATGCATAGGTGTCCGGTGCAGGTACCGGCTCTGATATGGGATACAACATATTTTTGAAAATCAAAGGTATAGGTTAATAAAAGATAATAATTTTTTATAAAATGTATGAATAAATAACTAAATTGTTAGGTTAGTTATAAAATATCATTATAAAAAATTTTTAAAAATAAAAAATAATATTAAAATGCAATACTAGAGAAATTAAAATATATAAATATACTATATTGATATTTGAGAAAATTATATATTTCACACAAAATCGAATATGAGAAAAAATAAAATAGTACGAGTACGGTATATATATTTGGTACGAGTACGAATTCGGTACTGATACTTCACCATTTTAAAAGTATCAATACTTCAAATGAAACATCTCTGGTCAAATTTGACCAACAGTTAAAACTATTTGGAAAAAACCATGTAAACCTTCTAACAAGAAGTGGGAGATCATCTAGTACCATTCCTATTAAAAAATATTTTCTTCTTTTCAAAATAGTTATTGTTTAAAATTTTTACGCATAGATTAATAAATACAATAATATTATCATAAAACATAAACTTTATTAAATTAACCTTATTAATATATCGGAAATAGTGTACAAAATAATTATTAATACAATTGAAAAAATAATTATTATTTCTACGTTGAAAGGTGAGAATGACAATTATTTTAAAATAATTTTTATTTGGTAAAACGTCAATCTTAAACACCATCATATCCAATAAAACTTTATTTAGTAAAAATCAACTCCCTTCTCTCTTATAAAGTGCAAACTTCAACACGGACATTAGAACGAGCAAACTTCAACACGGACATTAGAACGATATAGCACACACTCAAATATTTTTTTTTATAAATATTTGTCTGAATTGTCAGACAGGTTGTTGGATACCATATTAAAAAATGTTGAAGGAAAAAAGACATTTTCTAAAAGATCCGATATGTCGTACGAATCTCGTACAAGGGTCGTATCAAACACCGGTGACAAGCCTACTCAAAGAGTAATCCATGCTTCATAAGATTCTCAGGGTCTTGATAGCCTCCAAATCCTCTAATCGCCCTTAAAATATTCCCTTTTAAAACATTATTTCATGGTCTTTTCATTCCAAAAGAGCCTAGATTTTAACCGCCGCACGAATCTTTCATGCCATGTGGGGGAAGTTGCATACTCTATCCGAAATTATTTATGAACAATTCCAAAGTTGAAAGTTTAGGGTAGGTTATGCTCTCAATTGCAGCGAGACACAGATGACAGTGTTAAGATAAGGAGCTGAAGAGATTTTGCAGCAACCACAATTTATAAGTTGTTTTCATATGCTACAAAATAAGCTGAAAATGGTTTACATGTCATAAACCATGATAAAATGGAGATATTTACTAGTTTTTGAAAATTGGAATGTTGTACTATTGTATACCTGACATTTATGAGTAACATCCACAACTGAAAATTGACCATTTCATAACATGAAAATAATGTATCAATCAATCCATGTTAATTTCACAAATATACAAATAAAATCTCAGGTTTTACATTAATAATATCACAACAAAACCAATTATAATAGCACCTCTTAATTATTTGTAGCAAATGTAACTATCTTTTTTACATATAAATTTACAAAGTCAAGAATACCTATAAGATACAAAAGAACCAAACATATTAATTGTTGTTGAGTTGATGTCTAACCTAAACATGAAGATGTCAATGTTGGACATTTGTATCCTCTCCAATATGTTTGTCGCCTGTTTCACTTTTCTTCAATAGCTTTTCAACAACCTCTTCCCAGTTTAATCTTCCACCACTAGGTTTTGATTCAGTACTTGAGGCGGCTTCAACTTCGGCTTCTTTGTCGCCATTACTAGTAGATGCTGCCTCACCTTCATTGTTTTCTGATGGTTCGTTCTCTGCAGCGTCCACTGCATGAGGTACATTTAAGCTAACAGCTCTTTCCAAAGCATCTTTATGTTCTTTTTCTAACGTCTTCAATCTCTCAAACTTTTGTATCGTTGGTGGGACTGTCACAGTTTTGGTGCTGTCTTGATCTTTCATTAACTACATGATGAACACGAAGAACCAACAATTCATTAAATGTAGAAAAGGGTTAATAAAAGAGAATTCAAACAAAATTTTGATATATGAAGCACGAACACGAACAGACACGTAGACATGACTAACAATTACAATAATGGAAGTGATTGAACGTAACCATATGTGTCAATATCATATTTGCTTTAGAACACTGACAAACTTTCAATTTGAAGTGCCAATGCTACATAGATTTTGATTCATTATGTTATTCTAACTAACAATGAGTCTCGAACTTCAAAGAACAATGTTGTGAAAAAGCACCAAACGGTGGATATTTTTACAAGATAGTTTTTCTTACTTGTAAGGCTTTCTCTGCCTCCCTCTCTATCCAAATAATTGCATGATCCGCTGTTGTGTTGCAGGACAAGACAATATGCTCAAATCTTCCATCAACAGGAATAGCAGTTCTCACTTCAGGAGGAAATCTCCCACATCTGTTGTGTTCACCAACCAACAAGAACTTCATTATTAGCAATGCATATGTATGATATCAATGCCGCACTAAATGAACTATTCCTAAGGCTATATCAGTAATATGGGATAATAGCAAAATATTTGTTACTATATAGGAGATTGGTATGAAAAAATAAAGCCGGCTTGCAAGTCCATACCTGCAAAATTTCCTTTCCACAATATGATACATTCGTCCAGGTGCGTAAAGTCTCCTTGGATCTCTTAGCTTTCGACCCTCAGGTATGAAAGTGTCCCTCAAGCAAACCAAGAATAATAAGCAAGGCAAGCTGTTTAAATCATCAACACCTGGTTTAAGAGACCATTATCGCATTTTGCTATGCTCAATAGCAAACATGAGAAAATCAAGAATAAACCACACACACTTGAAAGTTGAAACCCAACGGACAGAGTGCGACTAACCAGAATATTGATTTGAATATATCTTCCAATGGAGTGGCTGTTCTTGGCAAGAAATCATCCTGCACCAATAAATAAAATGAATAATAGATTAAAGTTTGAGCAAGCGTCATCATATGATAGAATAAAAATAGTAAATGCACATGAGAAGAGATAGAGTCAAAAGAAAAACTACATCAAGTCATTTAAATTCTTCATATACATGAGAAGTGATGAAGTAAAATAATGTTCAATACATTATTATACACACACGTTTTATACACAAATTTTTGTCTTGTATAATTTGTACCATTTTAACTCCATCACACGCCACTCTCACCTACCTTTTTCTCTTTCGATTTCAGTGTCCAATATCTCTTCAGTAAAAATATTTTAGACTATTTTGATTTGAGTTTAATTTTCATGCCATGTTAATGTATAAAGTTTTACCCTATCAACACATTAGAATGGAACTTGTGTATGCCTCTTGAAGTGGGTATGATACAAGTCAAATGTTTTGAATCTCAACACATTAGAACAAAACTTGTATGACTCTTGAAGTGGTTATGACTCAAGTCAAATGTTTTGAATGTCAACTCATTAGAACGAAACTTGTATGACTCTTGAAGTGGTTATGATACAAGTCAAATGTTTCTATTGTCAACACATTAGAACCAAACTTGTGTATGACTCTTGAAGTGGTTATGATACAAGTCAAATGTTTCTAATGATCTGACGATTAAAATAAGTTGACAGTGTTCATGAATTCAATCCTTATAATCTGCACTATTGTATAAGCTTATAACATTTTGACTTAAGGTCCAAGAGAGGCAGGAGAAAAATCTGGCCGTGATGAACAAGAGAGGCATTACAGTAACACCAAAATCCCAGTTCTCACAAAAATCTAGAATCAACTATATGTCAAAAATAGAAAAAAGGTAAGCAATATAGTTGAGACTTCATAATAGAATTACCTCACACACAACGCAATACAAAATAAAATTGAAGTACAGAGTCAAATTAGTCCGAAAGTGAAAGAATTGGTCAAAACAGTCACTAATCTTTTCAAATTGGTAAAATATCTCTCTCTGAAATTGTAAGATGTTATTCAAAATAACCCCTCCATTAACTTCTCTTGTTATAAACTATGGCGTGAAAAACTATCTAAATATGCGGCTCCTCCATTTTTTTAAAACTTGGTATCCGGCTTTGAAACCCACTAATATAAGGGAACCAATCCCACCATCCACTAGCAAGGACCCATTTAAAGCCAGAGCTCTATATGGACTGACCCAACACAAAAACTATTAGCATCTAGTGAGATTTGAACCTGAGACCTTGAGAAGAACACACTCTTAGGACTTGAGCCTTCACCAATCTCACATCATTGTCACTACAACATAGATAATTTTCCTATGAAAATTAGGTCCTCCAGGGAGTAATTTGTCATTAGTTAGTCTCTGCATAATTGCAACTACAGACAAGTTTGTCCTTGAAATGATATAGAACATACAATACAGCCAACAATAGCAGTACTAGAGCTAAATGTGAAGTAGCATAGAGTAAGAATAATGAAGAAGCAAACTAACCTGCAAGACAATGGAATGAATGAGATTAGCATATTTAACAGCCAAATTAAGCGACATACACCTAGCAGGAGCAATAGCATAACACCTAATCTTGTCTTTCGGAATCCCACCCAAAAGTTCCCTATGATTCACCACAAGAATACTCAACAAAGAAACCACACCAGACCCCAATGAATGTCCCGCAAAAACCATCCCATACTCACACCCATTCTCCACCCACAACTTCTTCAGCGTCTCCGATTCCTTTTTCAACAACCAAACAGCAGATTTCAACAAACCATGATGAACATAACCACCATCAAACATCTGTCTCCCCAACTTATTATCCAACAAAAGCTTATAATCACTCTCCTTAGCTAAATTTAGTCCCCGCACCGCCATCACAATCTCGCGATGCTCGTGATCGACATAGATTATATACGGCGGCGCGTGGCCCTCAGTTTCTAAATAACTCACGCGCTTCACGACCCAGTCGGGATTCAAACGGTACCCATTTGCAGGCTGGTAATGCTGAGGGTTCTTGAGATCGGGTTCGTAGATAGCGAGGATGATTCGGCAGACACGTGGCACCGGTTCGAATTCGACTGCGGTGGCGGACGGCCACGTGGCGCTGTCGTAGGAGCCGATGTACGTGCAGCGTTTCCAGAGCCAACGTGCGCAGCCGAAGACTACAACACACTCTACGCCGCATGCGACAGACATGTTTTTTGTTTGAGTTAATGTTTGATGGTTGTTGTGGCGGTAATGTAGTGGATTTAGTTAAAGTGTGGTTTGGTTTGAGAGAGAAAGCTTAATGGAGGGTTTAAGTTTATGCTTGCTCGTGAAATCGAAGAGGGAAGATTCGAGCTAGCTGGAGGAGAGAGAGAGAGAGTGAGACACACATCGATTATGACGATGTTTGTGGCAACTGGCAATGACAGATTGTGAATTTTGGTGTTTTTTTTAATTAAGAAGTACTCCTTGAATACTTGTTGTCTTTATTCTCGATGCTTTACTTCTTTCTTTTCTTTATTTTTATTTTGAATTCAAGTTTACTTTTGATTATTTAAGAAAAAGAAAAGTTCATGAAAAAAGGTTATACAATCAGATATCTATAATTGAGAAAAAGATACAGTATGGTGTAAAAAAGAAATGAGATACGTTTATTTAGTCAAAATTTCAAATAAAAACTATTTATAGCAAAATATATATGATTATTATTTTTCAATTAGATTTTAGTATTTAACCAATAACACTTTGACGAGATAGAGAGAAATATTTTTCAATTTACTAAAAAGTTTGCGTATTAACTAAGTGATGAATAGGCAACGACATTATTTTTTTAAAAATAATTTTGTTATTTATTATGATTCTTTTTTATTGGAAGAATTAATCTCTGTAGTAGTATGTAGAAGATATACAATTTAAAAAAAAAAATAGTATTTGACATTGTAAACAATTAAATGTTAATCAAGAAATTTTTGCATGAATGTCTATTTTTTGAGTTATTTATAGATGCATTTGAATTACAAACAAAACAAAGACTAAATTAGAGTAAACAAATTTAAATTAGTTTATATGAAAAAGAAATTGGACATCATTCTAAAGAACTCCGCGGTTTCGCATTTGGACATAAAAGCTTTCGCATTTGGACATCAAAGCAAGTAAATAATAACTCACTGCAACAAAAAAAAGGTTTTATTTGCAATAAACAAAACAATTGATTTAGGAACAGCTGTTTTATCATAGAGAACTTTCTTATGCGAAAAAAAAAAAAAACAATTGTTATTATATAACTATTTTTCAAATGTTAGTTTTTTATTAAAGCATTAGAACTTAAGCCAAGAGCAGTTTTTATTCTCAGATGTACTAGGTTAGTGTTGTAGTATAAATGCAAGTATAAGTGCTATTTACTGAGTGTGTGGCTGATGTACATAAAACGCATACTGCAAAAGTTGTTACGCGAAACTCAAATCTGAACTGAACTACTCTATAGCAGACACCAGTACAAAAGACAGCACTCTAGTTCATTTGTATTTTGACCAATCATAATGAAATATTCAAGAAAGATGAGTTTCCATTGAATTTAACATGATATCAATCGTCTTAACAATTCATTTCCGGTGAGCTAACCAGTTCTGCTATTCATAATGATATCAATCGTCTTAACAATCTATTTCCGATGAGCTAACCAGTTCTGTTATTCATAACAACTCACAGTTATCACTTACCGTCATTCATTCAAGAACTTAGGCCATTTTCTATGCTAGCTTCGGTTCATCTTCTCTACTAACTATTCCACACTAGTGCAGCAAGATTTGATAATTATAAGGCCTTTTGGTCCACCTCCTGACGCTCATTTTTTATTTCACGAGGGCGCACCAGGTCATGATTTGGAAGGGTGCCTTGCCTTGAAATATATTTTAAGAGAATTGATGGAGAAGAAGATTTTGTCTTATGGTGATTTTCAGTTTAATGTTAAAAACAATCATTTACCCACTCATGGGGAAATTAATGTTGTTGAAGATGCATCCGATATGAGATTTTGATTTTTGATGTTACTGAGATTAGAACCTCTCTCCGAGACTTTCATGCAAAGTTGGTAGAGGCTGGTTTGATTAAAGATTGTCATTCAAAATGTGAAGATTGTGCTAGCAACTCTAAGGGATGTTTGTTGGTTTAGAGAGACATTTAGAATTTGATCGATAATGGTTTCCTGCAAGTGGGTAGCAAGGTGAAGAAAGATGAAGTGTTAGTGATTGAACCCATCTTTAATTTCCCAAAGTCGAATGATAAAATGTCAGTGTTCAACCTGCCAGAATCAAGCTCTACAGTCCTAATTTTCAATATGCCAAAGCCAATTTTCAACATTGCAAAGTCCGATGATCCACGAGTCAATCAACCAATACCGGTGATTATTCAGAAACCCGGTCTATTCCACTTCAAAGATACTAAAGATGTGTCGTTGAAGTATGATGTAACAGTAATTGATCAGGAATCTTGGAAGGTTATTCTGAAGGAAGATGTGAAGAGTGCTCATAAAGATGTGACAAATATTGTTGGGGCAAACAAGATGACCAATAGCGGTAGTATCTATCAGCCCAGAATGAATGAAGTTCCGCCAAAGGAAACTGCTGTTGTTGTACATGCTAAGGATAAAGAGGTAGTTTTGAATTATGAAGATGCAGAATCCTTGAGAATCATCAGAAAAAGTGATTACGAGGTTATTAACCAACTTCACCAGACACCGTCAAAAATCTCCATCATGTCTCTCTTGATAAGCTCTCATGCTCATAGAGTTGCTTTACAGAAGATGTTGACTCAGGCCCACGTTACTCAAGACATTACAGTCGGCCAATTGGATACTGTAATTGTGAATATAACTGATTGTAACACCCTTAGCTTCAGCAACGAAGAGTTAGCAAGAGAAGGTTCGAATCACAAACGTGCATTGTATGTGTCTGTGAAATTTCAAGAGGATGCTCTAGCTAGAGTACTAGTTGATACAAGTTCATCTTTGAATGTTCTGTCCAAGAGAACACTCACAAAGCATGTATACAAAAGGGCAGAAATGAGGCCTACATCATTGATCGTCAAAGCTTTTGATGACTCTCGAAGAACTGTAATTGGGGAAGTGGATCTGCCAATATTAATTGGGCCACATGTCTTTGATATCACGTTTCAGGTGATGGATATTAATCCAACTTAGAGTTGTTTGTTGGAAAGATGGTGGATTCATGTTGTTGGCTCTATAACTTCCACATTACATCAGAAAAAAGTTTGTTGTCGATGACAAGTTGGTAATCATTCATGGTGAGGAGGATCTCGAGATAGCCAACGTTGTTCTGTTGGAAATCGAAGAACTGGTGGTTAAAGGGGGTCCATCTTTTGCATATGCTTAGAGTATAAGGTCAAATATCTATGAAGTCACTCTTGCAGGATGGGGAGAGGTCATTGAAGTGAAGACGAAGCTGGATCGCCATGGGGGTTACAAACCAACTCATGATGGAGCCTCAACCTCCACTAAAGGGCGTCCAAAGGTTATCCGAGAGATATTCATCAGCAGAGGATTCCAAGTCAACGTTGTTGATGAAGATAAAGAAGATGAAGATGTGAGTCATTTGGTGTTTCAGTGTGATGCCACATTAGACAATTGGGAAGAAATAGAGATCCCAATGATTATTCTTTTGCCAAAGTAATTTGTTGTTTTCATAAAATTCTATAGCTATGCCCAAAGCTATTGAATTATTTTGTAGAGCCCTCGTGCTTTCAAAATTGTTATAATCAATGAAGAAATTTTGTTAAATTCCCGTTGTTTCATTTAATGTTTTTTACTTTTACATTTAAAAGAAAATGACAATCTTTCAAAATAACCAAAAACATTTTTCTTTTGCATTTATCTTTGTACTTTTAATAAATCAAATAATTCAAAACATGTAGAATAGTCCCAAATCATGTTAAATCCAATGACACTGCTTTCACTCCTAACTTTGATTCACCCATCTACCAAGCTGAGGATGAGGATGAAGAAGATTATGAAGTTCCTGATGAACTAGAAAGGATGTGTAAGTATGAGTATACAGACCTTCAACCACATAATGAGCAGGTGGAAGTCATTAATCTTGGCACTGATGGAGAGAAAAAAGAGGTCAAGATTGGCACTACACTTGGGGCAGATATCAGACAAAGACTGGTGAAGCTTCTAGAAAAATATGTTGATGTGTTTGTATGGTCATATCAGGATATTCTCGGTTTAGACACAGACATAGTGGTTCATAAATTTCCGCTTCGACCAGAATGTCTGCCTGTAAAATAAAAGCTCTGAAGGACCAGACTGAACATGGCTCTGAAAATTCGTGATGCGGTTAAAAGACAGTTTGACGCAAGTTTTCTAACAGTTGCAAAGTATCTAGAGTGGCTAGCCAACATTGCGCATCTGTCGAATAAGGATGGTAAGGTCAGGATGTGTGTAGACTATAGGGATTTGAACAAAGCAAGTACGAAAGATGATTTCCCTCTACCACATATTGACACTCGTGTTGACAATACCGCTCACTTCAAAGTTTTCTCATTCATGGATGGCTTGTCTGGTTATAACTAGATCAAGATTGATCCTGATGATATGGAAAAGACTACATTTATCACTCCTTGGGGAACCTATTGTTATAAGGTTATGCATTTTGGTGAACTTCAAAGATTTGCGATTCAAGTTAAACGATAGCTTGATATCCGATTCTCACTACAACAAGAGGCCTTTGGACCTAGGGTTTTCTCGGGAAGGATCATCACCCACCCAATTAATGATGGACCATTGAATCTCTATTTCCTAGAAAGGATGTGGATTTGCTACTAACCCTAGTGTCTATTTGACCAAGAAACGTGTTTTCCCACGTTTCTCATTTCTGGGCGAGTAGTGGTACTTAGGGTGAGGCGATACCTCCTAGAGGGAGACATATGGTTGTCGCCTCTCCTATGGGATGAAAAGCTCCAGTCATTATTTCACATTATGCACGTTGATGTTTGGGGTCCTTGTTCAGTAACCTCAAAGTTTGGTAATAAGTATTTTGTTACATTTGTTGATGACTATTCCCATGCAACTTGGTTATATCTAATGAAATTCAGATATCTATTTACTATATTTTGCAATTTTGTGTTGAAATTAGTACATAGTTTAATTGTCATGTTCGCATTCTTTGAAATGATAACGCCAAATAATACTTTTTCCACAATTTAATACTTTCATGAACTAACATAGTATGATTCACTAATCATGTTGCATTGTCATTCCACAACAAAATAAACTTGTTGAGCGCAAAAATAGGCACTTAATGGAAGTTGTCCGAGCTTTATTGTTTGAGATGAAAGTTTCAAAAGTTTTTGGGCAGATGCAATACTCACTACTTAATTAACTGCATGCCACCGTCTAATTTAAATTGTGTTTTCCCATATTCAATCATTTTCCTTCTCATTCTTTCTTCTCTTTACCCCCCCCCCCCCCCCCCCAATATTTGATTGCACATGTTTTGTATTTGATGTTTGTTCGCAGGTGACTAAGTTGGATCCAAAGTCATTGAAGTGTGTATTTTTAGGTTACTCTCATATCCAAAAGGGGTGTCATTGGTTTTCCTTAGAGTTTGGTCGTTATTTGGTTACAACTGATGTCTCATTCTTTGACGATCGCCTTTTTTTTTTATTGAGTCCAACCGTCCTTGCTAGTGTGTGAGTCGGATGATTCTTTCTTAACTTATACCATTAGCCCTTATTTTTCTCCAACTCTTATTGCAACAGTTTCAAGTTCTTTAAGCACACATATTCTCATTGTCCTCGGGTTTCAAGAGAGGATATCCCCGAAGATACTAAACCTATACCCCCTCAAGTGCCTACAAATTCTGCAAATGAACTTCCAATTACCTTACGCAAAGGTAAACATACTTGTATTTATTCTATCTCTTCTTATGTGTCTTCTTGTTTTTTGTCATCTATTTCTAAATCCTTTGTTGATGGCATAAATTCTATTTCTATTCTTAAATCTCTTATAAATGTTACTAATCATGATGGTTAGAGATAGGCTATGAATGAGGAAATGAAAGCTCTTGAGCATAATGACACTTATGATTTAGTTTTTCTTTTTGTAGGAAAACAAGTTATTGGATACAAATGGTTGTATATTGTTAAGATGAATCTTGATGGCTTTATGGCCCGCTTAAAAGCACGACTAGCTGCTAGAGGATAAGCCCAAACATATGGAGTTGACTATACTGATACATTCTTCCCGTGGCTAAAATTTCATCTATTCATATTATTATATCTCTTGCTCCTAAACACCATTGGCCTTTGTTTCCATTAGATGTGAAGAATACTTGCTTGGATTGTGATTTACAAGAGAAGGTGTATATGGAGCAACCATCTGGTTTTGTTGCTCAAGGGCAGGATGAACATGTGTGTCATTTAAAAAAATCATTGTATGGCTTGAAACAATCACCTAGGTCTTAGTTTGGGAGACCCAATGAAGTGATTTTGACATTTGGAATGAAATTATGTTAAAGTAATCATATAGTATTTTTTTTAATAAAAAGAAACTATGGAAATATCTTACTTGTGGTGTATGTTGATGATATTATAATTACAGGAAGTGATAACAAAGAAATTGAAAAATTGAAGGCTTTCCTCCAAACCAAGTTTCAGACCAAAGATTTGGGAGTCTTGAAGTACTTCTTGGGTATTGAAGTTATGTATTCAAAGAAGGGGATTTTCCTTTTATAAATGAAATATGTTCTGAATCTATTGAGTTAAACTGGTATCATGGGATCCAAACCATGTGAGACTCCTATGGAGCCTGGAGTTAAGTTGATAGTGGATGAAGCTCCTTACTTAGATCCACAGAAGTATAGAACATCGGTGGGAAAGTTGAATTACTTAACTGTTACGAGACCTGATATTGTTTTTCCTATAAGTGTTATAAGCCAATTTATATCTTTCCACACTGATACTCATTGAGACATTGTAAATATTTGAAGAAAGCATCAAGAAAGAGAATTGTGTACCAAAATCATGAGCATACGTAGGTGGAGGTTTTTTTATTCAGATTGGACAGGATGTCCAATGGATCGGAAGTCTACCACAAGATATTGTGTATTCTTTAGAGGTGATTTGATATCTTAGAAAAGTAAGAAACATAATGTAGTAGCAGGATCAAGGGCAAAAGCAAAATATAGGACTATGGCTCAAACGACTTGTGAACTGATATGGGTAAAACAAATTTTGGATGAAATGAGATTTAAATTATCCTATGAAATTGTGGTGTGATAACTAGGCCGCCATACATATTAGATCAAATCCGATATTTCATAAAAGAATAAAACACATTGAGGTGGACTATCATTTTATTTTAGAAAGAGTTAAAAAAAATCTCATATCCACTTTCTATGTTAAGACAGAAGATCAATTAACATATTTGTTTACAAATGCATTGAATGGAATGTATAGTAATTTCATTTGTAAATAGTTAAGCATGATAATATATATGTTTCAGTTTAAAGAAACCCATTAAGAGTTATATTACAGTATTATATTAAAGGCTTAACATTAAGTATTTGAGTTTTGCCCATTTGTTTTTCTTATGTAATATTTGTTTTATCTATTAATATAAATAGGAGGGTGATTACACATGGTAGGGTATTTGATTGAATATTTATATTCTTTCTCTCTTTCTACAGTAAGTAGTTATTCTTATAAGTAGATCTGTGGCAAATCCGGAAAAGACACGTTGCAAAGTGGTGAAATGGGTTTTTAAATACTTATCATCATTGAGTGTTGTTTGTGCTTGGTGGACATACATGCAGTTATATAGTTTTGTTGACTCTAATTATGTCATTGATGTAGATAGACAAGGATTACTATTAATTATGTGTTTGATCTACACACTATTACAATTAATTGGCGATCAATGTTACCATATGGTACAAGAAAAATTATGCTGTATGCTCCAGCACATCATTTTCATGAAAAATTGGCATTGTATACTCTCCATTCACTCCTTAAAAAGGTGGTTTGTCCAATATGTATTTTAACACATTTGAATATTAAAAAAGTAAATCAAGAAACTATCTTGAAAATTTGAAGTTCGTCCAGATAATAGAAAAGCTAATAAAATCCAACAAAAACAAATCCAGATAATCTCTACCAATTCAACTTTATATAAACTAATTAACCACTTAAACTGTATATAACAAGCAATCATTCATATTTGCTACAAAAAAGAAACCATTTCCCACAATATCTAAAGCAGCAATGCATGTTCTAACATACAAACATAAGCTTATAGCCAAATCACTCCCCATATTACAAATCCAATCATGATTAGAAAACTTCTAGCTCCCAGTTCACATGCAGAAGAGTCTGAGAAATTCGGCGTTGGCGCAGGGGCGTTAGAGAAGATGCCATTTCTTCCAAACCTGCACATAACAACATCATATCAAACACTTGTAACCAAAAACATTGGCACAATCACACAAATTTATCGACAAAATTAAACAAAGAGAAGAATGTTATTACCTTCTTGAAAATATACAAGAACCATGACCTGCAGTCATTCAGAATAATATTATTAGTGATCTCTGTAACACCGACACCTCTGGAAAGAGGTGTGTCCGTGGCTGTGTCAGTGTAGACATCACCAACACCGACAGTTGCAATTACAGTAAATTTATTCAATTTATTCAGACTCAAAGAAAAACGTTACTTACTTGGATCAGAAGTGGAGATAGTAGCCATGCCCTTGAAATCACAAGACTCACTAGACTTTCCCATCTGATGATAATAACTATCAAAAGCATAGTTAGCATGAGCAACAACATTATCAGGATCATAACATGGTTTTCCCTGCAACAATGGAGAACAATCCACTTTTCCAGGTCCACAAGCCCAATCTATTCCTGCCTGCAACATCTTTGGATCAGCACCATCTTTTGCAATGCAGTAGGTTTCTTTACTTGTATCATTTGCCAAAACTGCTCCTGAACCTGTCAATTGCAAAACATAAACCGGCACAGCATTTGAATCAAATAGCCCCCAGTTTTTCTCTGACAATGCCCCTGGCTTTGTGTCCTCATTGTAGAGCTCGTAGATGTAAGCACTAACGCTAATTCCGGGGTGTTTCGGTGTTCCGGTTTTGTTCAAAACATGCTTGATCAAGTTGCTGTTGTAAGCATTAGCATTGTCTAGTGTTGCATCAGGCTCATTAGAACCACCTTTTGAAGGCCAACCAGTTTCGGTCACGACGACAGGAATGTTGGTGAAATTCAGATACGACATTGCGAAATAAGTTGCATCTACGACAGCGTCAAACACATTGGAGTAGTGGAGAAGTGTGTTGGAATCAATAGATTCTTTGTTTGGTGGAATTGGTTTGAAAAGTGCATTATCCAAAGGGATTGCACCGTTTGATTCCATGTAATCATAGTAAGGATAAACGTTAAGCATGAGATAAGATTGAGTGGATTGCAAGAAATCAAGCATTGGAATCAAGACTTGATTCATCGAAGTGTTGAAAAAGGCCTGTGAAGGTGGAAATGAATCAAGTATGATGGTAGAAGGAAGCGGCGTGGAGACTTTGATTTTGGAATCGAGTTTCGACGCGACAAGAGCTGAATGGATGTAGTTAAGTGCATTGACCAAGAGCTTTGCTGCATTTGGGAGTGTGGTTAAAACCTCAGAACCAACACAAATTGATGTGATATTTGTGGATGGATAATATGCTAACACATTGCGAGAAACCCAATTTAAAGCAGTGGAATTCGATTGACCAATTGCTAAGAGCTCTTCATTTGGGACAGAGATAACAACTTGAATTCCTGATTTTGATAATGCAGTTAGCATAGCTTGGTCTGCATTATAAAGTCGAATATGTCGAATTTGTTGAGCTTTGAGCAATGCAACTACTTGTGTAGGGTGAGGCATGTCCGAGAGATCTGTACCAATGTTGACTCCAATGAATGGTTCTGCAAAGAACAAACACATGACACATTAAACTTAAGAGATTTCCGTTAGGCGCATACAGTTCCTGTGTTGAGTCAAGTCCATACAGAATTTTGCTCTGACTTCAAAAACGGGACGGCCCCACAAGTGGAAGGTGGGATACTCCCTTTGAATAAGTTCGTGCAAGGCCAGATATTAAGATTTAAAAAAAAAAACATTAAACTTAAGATACACCAATCTAGGGTTCAAAATGTGAGTATTTGAAAGAAATCATTGAAGATTAATTTGCTTTCTTATGAAGATTTGAACAGTGAACTGCATGATTATATAAACAAAATAGATAATTTCTTGAAAAGGTAAACATTTCCAAAATGTCATCAACGTGTAAAGTGTGTTCATAAACACATATCAAATCAAAATGTGAGGGAAAAAGGAAAATAAATGACTCAAGCAACCCTACCATATTTAATAGATCTAAATATTACTGGTAGACCACATTGCTATTTAAGAAGATTAATCAATAAAAACCTATATACCCTCTTCTTTATTTCCACTTTACTTAACATCTTTTAATTCAAAATTTCTTTCAGTCAAATAAGCAACATGCAAAGAAAGAAACATATACATACTTTCAAAATAAAAGGAAAATATGGTAACAGTGAGCAATGGAGTGATTTCAATATTGATTACTCTAAGGAACAAAGGAGAAGGTATGTGGAACTAAAACTGTTAACTAACCTTCATCAGCTGCAACATTGGACACTGCAAAAAGAAGCATAAGAAGAAAATGCATAACCATGGTTTAAAACTTCAAATCTCGCTAAAGAATTTGGTGAAAACCTGAGAATGAGTTTTTAAGAGAGGGAACAAGTAAAAAAAATGTGGATAAAAAGTTAATAGAAAAATGAAAGGGTGAAGGAATCATCAATGTCTTGGATTTTCACAAGCAGAGGAAAAAACCAAGAGAGAAAATAGGAATGCTATGTGAATGTGTATATCTTTTATATACTATCTTTCTTAGTGGTACTTGATTCTTTTTACTTTCGCACATCTATCAATAACATTTAGACGGACACTCGCGTACCTATTTGACTGTTTTTTTAATACCGTAGAAATATAAATAATACTTTTTATTTAATTTTAATTTAAATAAAAGTTATATATACTTAAAAAAAAGAAAAGACTATACCAAAATCTGTTTTTTTTAAGATTGTCTATTTTGAAAACATATATACAAACAGGAAATGAACGGGAAAGTGGGTCCCTCTAGGCTTGAAAACGCAAAAAGTAACGATACCTCGGGCAAACAACAACGGTCAAATTTCAGCATTCATTAACTATACTAGTTTCTCGTAACTATAAATCCAAGTTTTAATTTTAAATGATTAAACTGTACTCTAGTTTAAGTTTTTTGGTTTAATCTATAAACCTATTTATTGATAAATAACTACTTTAATTGTCTACTCTCTCTATTCTCTTTTTATAAAAAATTTACTTTTTAAATTTATTAAATAAACTATGTGTATATATTATTTAATAAATTTAAAAAATAAAAATGAGTGAAAGGAGTATCTATATATTAAATGTTGATTATATAATTCCTATTTATCATAAATACAACAAGGGCTATTGATTTGGAATTAATGCAAATGATACCAACTAGAAAATAAAATATATAGTTAAAGTTGCATTAAAAATTAAAATAATATTCCCTTTGTTTTATAATAGGTATTTTTTTATTTGTCTCTTTATAATATTAATGTAATAACTATTATTTCTTTATATTAATTTATTGTATTTTAAATCATGTAATTACTAGGAGTGTTTGTGGTTCGATTTGGATCGGTTTTGAGATAAAATATTATCTAATCCAAAAATAAATTTACTTTGTGATTCAGTTCGGTTTTAGATGATTAATTTAAAAAATCCGATTTGATCATATCCAATTGCTTACAGTTTGATTTGAATTAATTTTTTGGATATTCAAATTACAAATAATAATTTTATTAATATTATAAAAACACTAATAAATAATAAATTTGATATAATATATAACATATACTATATTAAAAATTAATACTCCCTCCGTCCTACAATGAGTGATCCATTTGAAATAAAATAGTGTCCCAGAATGTATGACCCATTTCAATTTCTAATACAACTTTTCCTATTTTACCCTTTAATTAATATTACTCTGATCATTCTCAATAAATCATAAGGATATTTTAGTAAAAATATCATTCGCTCTCATTCATTTATTCTTTTTTTTTTTTTAATATGTGTGAAAAGTCAACTGGGTCACTCATCGTAGAACGAAGAAAGTATTACAAAATTATAATGATCGGTTATGATTGAAACAAATGAAATAATAAAAATTAATAGATTAAATCGAACTAATAAATAGTATTTTATAAAAAAAAAAAACATCATCTAATAATAAATTAACACAACATATTATACTAATAAATAATAAATAAGTTTAAAAATATATACATGCGGTTTGGTTTGGATCAGTTTTAAAAAATTAATTGGAAATCTGATTCGAACCGATCAATTTTTACAAAATGGCATCCAAACACATTCAGTAATTTTTAGTTTTTTTTTTTGTGGTTTTTGATTTTTTTAGATCGGTTTGCGGTTTTTATTTAGATCAGTTTGGATTTGAACACCCATAGAACTACTCCACTAAATATTATTAATAAGATTATTTTAATAAATAACATTCGTTTTATCATTGAAGTCAATTAAATTAATCATTATCTTAAAAAGTATGAAAATCTCAAAGATAACACATATTGTAAGATAGAGTGAGTAATTTATTTTCAGTTAAGTTACTTCATGTCTCAATATTGAAAATAACATTAACTAAAAAAATTCTATTTGAGATGAAACATATAACAACACAAAGTGGCATGTTTATGTGCATATCATAATGAATTTTCTCATTTTCCCTAAAGTGAGTGAGACTTTTATTGATTTTTTTACTTTCTAAAATTAAAATGTGTTACTCCTTGAGACATAGGATTGTCAGAGTTTTTAGAGTTGTTGTTGGTGTTAGGATAAGCTCACGCAAGAGTGGGATGTAACTTTGTATATTAGTGTTTTTTTTGGATGAATGGAATGTCCTTCCTTCATCTTAGGGTGAGGTATTTATAGAAATTTCTTGGGCCTGAATCTTAGGCTTCAAGTGATAACACTTTATCTCTTAAAAAAGTAGGAGAATGAGTGATTATTTCTTTATTATTCTAAAAATGTGACCTTCATCTTTGACTTCTTTCCGTGTTGTTATTGGTGTGGACATGTTCCCCTTGTTTATGCTGGTGAATGAGCAACCCAGTAAAAGAGCGGCCATTTTAAACGATGAGCGCTCGTTAGGATAAATGGGCGAACATGGGGGGAAAAGCAGTTAGGGGCCCTGTTTTGGACGATGAGTGTTCTTACTTGCTCTTGATGAGTATTTTATCACCTCCTCTATATTACTTGCAAATATATTATTAAACAGTCTCTAAAGCACGAGACTTTGTAAAGGGATATATGATTTTGTCTCCTACCCATCTACGAAGTTTTAATTTGAGTTTCGCGAGAAAGTCTTTAAGTCGGGCCCCTCAGGTAAGACTTTAAGTTGAGTCCCTTAAACAAGACTTCAAGTTAAGTCCTTCTGGAAAGACTTTAAATTGAGTCCCTCAGGAGAGACTTCAAGTTAAGTCCCTAAAGCGAGACTTCAAGTTGAGTTCCTCAAATGAGACTTCAAGTTAAGTCCCTCAGGTGATACTGTAAGTTGAGTCCCTTAGATTGAGGTATTTTTCCTTGTTCTGCAGGGATCTTCCCATGGAAGTCTAATATTATAATGCCCCTTAATGGTGACAAGAATCTTCTAATGAAAGTCCAACATTTAGATTGCCTTCTGAGGGCGAAAAGGATCTTCCAATGGAAGTCTAACATTTAGATTGTCTTTTGATGGAGAAAGGATCTTCCAATAGAAGCCTAACATTTAGATTTCCTCTTGAGGGTGGCGATGGTATTCCAATAGAAGTTTAACATTTAGATTTCCTCTTAAGGGCGGCAAGGATCTTCCATTGTAAATCCAACATTTAGATTCACTAGGGAATGAAATAACCTTGTATAAATACTGTTCCGGTATGGGCCTAACCTCGGCAGGCCCAATACCGCGTGCGGCCCAACAAGCGAACCGGGCACGCCAGGCACGCGCCCCCTTCGAGACGAGCAGGGCAAGCCGCCGAGCACAAGCTACGTCTCCACAACCTTTTGTCGCCGGACGGGCAGAACCGCCCGGGCTCCCCTCCGCGGGGAGAATAACGTGCTCGGCGCACGTTCTCCACGTGCTCCCCTCCGCAGGGACACGTCACCGGCCAACTGCCCACCTCCGAAAGAGCAAGTCAAACCCACTTTCCGGAGATCTAGGAGCGGTTGAACTAGGGCGAAGACCACGTCTTGGTCTTCACTACGCCACGTAAGCCCTAGCAGTCATTAGGGTTGGGCCTGGTCATCCAGCCCACCTCGAATGACCGTTGGCCCAGCGCTGGGGTCTCTCTATAAATACCCTCTTCTTCAAGAGGGTCAGGTAACTCTTCTTGCCCCTTTTTCTGTACTATTGCTTCCACTCTGCCCAACTTCTTACTTTGGCATCGGAGTGTCTTGCAGGTACACCCCCTCCTCCTTCTCATCCGGTGAACAGGTAGCAGCCCAACAGTGTGTGGCCAGTCCGTGATCCCCTCCTGATCAGGTCAGATCAGTGGCGCCGTCTGTGGGAACCTGAAACTTCCCCGTTACTCCGAGCAGAAAACCAAAAGTTTCACCAAACCTCCACGATCATGGCTAGCCCACACCGCGACGACACTCCGCACGACCTTGCGCTCAACGTCGCCACCAACGGGAAGCAGACAGGAACGGAACGTCCGACGGAAGCTGACGAAAGGGACGGGCAAACTGCTTCACCATCATCCGAGGAACGGCCCCTTCAGGCCGATCACCGCCCCCCGAGCCCGCCAGCATTCCACCCCGTTCCCATCCCGGCGGGAGCAGACCCGACGGTGGTCGCTCTCTTTACGGCCATCAACCAGACGAACCAGCTGCTGTTCCAACAAAATGCGAGAATTGGAGCATTAGAATGCATCGACCCTCCGAGATACCCCCAGCGGGAGGACCAGAACGGAGGTTCGAGGAGCCCCTCACCTCACCCCAAGAACCGCCGACCGCGACTGGAGAGACACCGCCCGCAGGCGACACGAGAACGCACCAGATCCCCGGTGAGACACGTTCGCGGGAGGAACCAGAACGCCACGGTGATCCCAACTGAGGCACCCCGAGGCGAGAACTCAGGCAGGAGATCGAGGACCCGAAACCCGGGGCGCACCGTGAACGGCTCATCTCCCCACATATCCCCGGCGCACAGCGACGAGGATGACTACCGCACCCCGCTATCCCGGGAGATCATGGCTGCCCCCATACCCCAGGGGATGGAGAAACCACCGACGCTGTCGACATACGACGGCACCTTCGACCCGGACGACCACCTGGAAGATATCGAGGCTATGCTCGACTGCCGAAACGTCCGGGGAGCTATCAAGTGCAGACTCTTCCCGACGACTCTGAGGAAAGGCGCTATGACCTGGTACAAAAGTCTGGAGCCCGAATCAGTTACGTCGTGGAGGGTCTTGAAGGACCTGTTCTCCAAACACTTTACGGCGTCCCGACGCCACCCGAAGACGGAAGCAGTCCTCGGGGCAATCATCCAAGGCCCCGACGAACCTCTCCGGAAATACATCGAAAGGTTTACTC